CCTGGAAATAATATTTGTATTTCGTGTGCATGCGCAATATTTACATAGCGCCCGTATTTTTATCGAATGTGTTGGCATTTAGGATGCCCGATCAAAGTGGAGATTCTGCCTAAGCAAGTCGGTGAAGTCATCCACGCGAATCTTACGCCAACAGCTGTTTCCACAGCAGTTTCAGCAGGTTTGCATGCTACTTTTGTTCAACTTTTCGCTATGGACATTGGTTTTGCACTTGATCTGTGACAGTATCTGAAAGTTTTGGGAACGTTCTTGTTGTCGCCTACATTTCAAACTAGTCGAAGTTCTTATAGGAATCTGAAATTCTGCGACTTTTCGGGCGCATACCAGTGACGATGACAGCACATATGATTTGCAAAATTATGAAACCCGTGTACTCTGTGGCACCGCGCTGATCGCGCTGTACCGCTAGATCGCAGCCAGTGGAACTTTTGATTGGATTCAAGCGTAGATCAAAGCGCGCAGCGTTAAACTACAACAGCACTCGTGCATACACAATTTTCAAACAGAGGTACAACCGTTCACACTTCACTTTCCTCTCCTTTTGCGAATGTGCGGCCAACTGTACACATGAAAGTAGATTAGGATAATACGCGTGTCGCACTCCATAACTAGTTATCAAGTGGAAGGCCGCTTACCCTCGTGTGTGTAGAGAGGTAGCAACATGCCTGAAAGCGGCTTGTAACTTGCCGCTAGCATAAGCGTACATTTTGTCAATCACGTAGTTGGATGACCTTTCAAGCACTTACGATTCGTGTGGCTAATATGAGAAAACTTGACCTGTCGTTATCCCGTGGTTCTTACGCCGAAAACCAATTCGTGTAACTGGCCGTACAAGCCAAAAGAGAACAGATAACTTTTATAGTAGAGATAAAGAATCTTGTAATAGGCGAGTACTAGAGCTGATGCTTGGCGAGGAAACTGAGATTAGCAACAGAACAGTTTCAGGCGGTTCAAGCATTGCCGGAGCGTTGCGACAGTCTCGGACACCCACGTCTCCTGGTCTGCTTCAGCACAGCCGTCAGCGATCAGCAGAGAATTTGAATCCTA